AGATGCCCGGTACCAGATACAACCCTAAATCCGTAAACATGGGCACCCTCATAGATATCATCCTGACTAATTTACCCTCTAAATACACCTCCGCTGTCTTCAACCAGGAACTCAGCGATCACTGCCTCATTGCCTGCGTCCGTAATGGGTCCGCGGTCAAACGACCACCCCTCATCACTGTCAAACGCTCCCTAAAACACTTCAGCGAGCAGGCCTTTCTAATTGACCTGGCCCGGGTATCCTGGATGGATATTGACCTCATTCCATCAGTAGAGGATGCCTGGATGTTCTTCAAAAGTGCTTTCCTCTCCATCTTAAATAAGCATGCCCCATTCAAAAAATTCAAAACTAAGAACAGATATAGCCCCTGGTTCACCCCAGACTTGACTGCCCTTGACCAGCACAAAAACATCCTGTGGTGTACTGCATTAGCATCGAACAGCCCCCGCGATATGCAACTTTTCAGGGAAGTCAGGAACCAATATACACAAGCAGTTAGGAAAGCAAAGGCTAGCTTTTTCAAACAGAAATTTGCATCCTGTAGCACTAACTCCAAAAGGTTTTGGGACACTGTAAAGTCCATGGAGAATAAGAGCACCTCCTCCCAGCTACCCACTGCACTGAGGCTAGGAAACACTGTCACCACCGATAAATCTACGATAATCGAGAATTTCAACAAGCATTTTGCTACGGCTGGCCATGCTTTCCACCTGGCTACCCTTACCCCGGCCACCAGCTCTGCATCCTCCGCTGCAACTTGCCCATGTCCCCCCCCCCCCGCTTCTCCTTCACCCAAATTCAGATAGCTGATGTCCTGAAAGAGCTACTAAATCTGGACCCCTACAAATCAGCTGGGCTAGACAATCTGGACCCTTTCTTTCTAAAATTAGCCACCGAAATTGTCGCAACCCCTATTACTAGCCTGTTCAACCTCTCTTTCGTATCGTCTGAGATCCCCAGAGATTGGAAAGCTGCCGCAGTCATCCCCCTCTTCAAAGGGGGTGACACTCTAGATCCAAACTGTTACAGACCATCCTGCCCCTTCGAAAGTATTTGAAAGCCAAGTTAACAAACAGATCACCGACCATTTTGAATCCCACCGTACCTTCTCCGCTATGTAATCTGGTTTCCGAGCTGGTCATGGGTCAACCTCAGCCACGCTCAAGGTCCTAAACGATATAATAACCGCGATCGATAGCCCGCCAGACTAGAATCACTACTCTCGGCGGGTCTGACTTAAAATATGTGGACAACTACAAATACCTAGGTGTCTGGTTAGACCGTAAACTCTCCTTCCAGACTCACATTAAGCATCTCCAATCCAAAGTTAAATCTAGAATCGGCTTCCTATTTCGCAACAAAGCCTCCTTCACTCATGCTGCTAAACATGCCCTCGTAAAACTGACTATCCTACCGATCCTTGACTTCGGCGATGTCATTTACAAAATAGCTTCCAACACTCTACTCAGCAAATTGGATGTAGTCTATCACAGTGCCATCCGTTTTGTCACCAAAGCCCCATATACTACCCACCATTGTGACCTGTATGCTCTCGTTGGCTGGCCCGCACTACATATTCATCGCCAAACCCACTGGCTCCAGGTCATCTAGAAATCACTTCTAGGCAAATCCCTGCCTTACCTGTAGCTCAGTTGGTAGAGCATGGCGCTTGCAACGCCAGGGTTGTGGGTTTGTTTCCCACGGGGGGCCAGCATGAAAAAATGTATGCACTCACTAACTGTAAGTCGCTCTGGATAAGAGCGTCTGCTAAATGACTAAAATGTCAAATGTAAAAATCATTGGTCACCATAGCAACACCCACCCGTAGTATGCGTTCCAGCAGGTATATCTCACTGGTCATCCCCAAAGCCAACACCTCCTTTGGCCGCCATTCCTTCCAGTTCTCTGCTGCAAATGACTGGAACGAACTGCAAAAATCTCTGAAGCTGGAGACACTTATCTCCCTCACTAACTTTAAGCATCAGTTGTCAGTGCAGCTTACCGATCACTGCACCTGTACACAGCCCATCTGTAATTAGCCCACCCAACTACCTCATCCCCATATTGTTATTTACATTATTTATTTTGCTCATTTGCACCCCAGTATCTCTATTTGCACATCATCTTCTGCACATCTATCACTCCAGTCATAATACTAAATTGTAATTATTTTGCACTATGGCCTATTTATTGCCTTACCTCCATAACTTACTACATTTGCACACACTATAGATTTTCTATTGTGTTATTGACTGTACGTTTTGTTTATTCCATATGTAACTCTGTGTTGTTGTTTTTAATCGCACTGCTTTGCTTTATCTTGGTCAGGTTGCAGTTGTAAATGAGAACTTGTTCTCAACTGGCTTACCTGGTTAAATAAAGGTGAAATAAAAAATTAAATAAAATAGACTAGATGTCGCCATTGGCGTCAGTTAATGGGGATCCTAATAAATAAAATAAAATAAAGCCCACCCCTATTGACACCGATGGTCAAAAGGCCACCCTCCTGAGGAGCAAAGTGGTGACAACACATTTATCAGAAAATGTCACATTTTGCAAATATGGAGGCAATCAAAACGTGATGGAAAACACATCATAAATAAAAATACGTGTTTATTTATAATCAGATGTAAAATATGAAGACTGTAAAAAAAGTACATCCTTTATAAATATTGTCTGTTTAGGGCAATATAATTTTCATTTCATATACAGCATATTATTATTATTTTCTTGTTACAATACCCAGGGGCCTCATGCATCCATTATTTTAGAGGGGGCATAAAGTATGTGAGGATGGAGGGGGGATGGTCTGAGAAGATGGAGAGTTTAGCATTTTTCAAACACCTGAAACAGCCTTTTCCTGCAATCTAGAGCCATAATCATTATGCCTAATTCTATGTAAAAATATTATATTTTTCTGCATAGGTTATCTAAGCGTACCTATACCTGTTGAAATGTTATTTTAATGAATGATGCACATTGATTCTTTAAGAACTTTTATATCTTAAGAGTTTAGTACAACTGCCACACTGGTATATAGTCTCATAACCCAAGAATTAAAAGCAATTTTGGTATTTTCTAAAGTCTAGCAACCTTGCCAGTAGGCATGCCAGCTATCTTGTGACTACAAATTTGTTGGATGCATTTGCTCTTTGTTTTGATTGTGTTTCAGATTATTTTGTGCCTAATAGAAATGAATGGTAAATAATGTATTGTGTCATTTTGGAGTCACCTTTATTGTAAATAAGAGTAGAATATGTTTCTAAACACTTCTACATGAATGTGGATGCTACCATGATTATGGATAGTCCGGAATGAATCGTTATTAATGATGAGTGAGATAGTTACAAACGCAAAATATCATACCCCCCAAATGCTAACCTTCTGTTATTGTAATTGTGAGAGGATAGCGTGTCTTGTGCGTCTAACTTTCTCACTCATTATTATTCACTATTCATTCAGGATTATCCATAATCATGGTAGCATCCACATTCATGTAGAAGTGTTTAGAGTATAGAGCCAAAAGAAGAAAATATGCTTCACTGTCCCAATTATTATGAAGGGCACTGTGGCTGGCTAGCTAAAGTCAACTTCAGAAAACTGCTAGGTGGCTAATATTACAGAGAAACAAAACATTTTGGTTTTATGTACTTATCAAGAATGAATCCTTAGGCTATATAGCTTGATCAAATTTATTTTCAAACATACCTCCTGCGAGACCTGCCCATAACCGGCAGTTAAAATCAATACAAAACTCTGTGTTTCACACGACACTCACCTCCTCCACTGACAATACTGTCTGCGCGCATTTGTTGGCTCCACGATGCACCTTGGAAGGAACCACTTACTGGTCCAGTCTGTGTGGCCCCTCCACAACATACAGCTGACAGATATTTTTATAAATAATTATGATAAAATGTGGGCTTAAAAATTATGTTTAGTAATTAATTTAACATCTGAGGGGGCACGTGCCCAAGTAACACAAGACCCAATTATCCATCATTTTACTAAAGGAATACCCCCAACACACCTATATCCTTCAAAACGAATCACCGTATAGTACCGTTAAATTTACTCCCTTCAGTAAGATGTCCCACTCAGTCAGGTCTGAATCAGAGTAGCTGCAGTTGGTTCAGGAAAGTAGGAAAGCTGCCGTACTGGTTGCAAACCCTTAGTTTTATACCATGTGGATGGGCAGATAAATCCACACAGTGAGAGGGGAGTGAGACTGTCCATGCCTGCATAAATCTGTGAGTTCTCTACTGGTCCTGTTTCTTGGGTATTCTACAACAAGTTTTTATCTGCAGCACCCTTTCAATTTGCACCTGAAAAAGTACAAACTTTCTTTTCATTATAGACAATTCATAACTGGCACCAGAAAGTGACTCCAAATCAGAGTAACTGCTATAGCTAGGGGGAAATACTAGACATTCATGCTGTCACTCACAAAGACACATTCATTTATGCATTTATGCACAGCAAGTGCTGACACACACAGACACACACACGCACGCACACATACTATAAAATACCATGTGAATGATCAGGACAGGAAAGAGTGACATACAGTAGGTAGGGCACACATGTGTGTGATAATAGAGCCACATTTGATCCCTGACTTCCCAGCATGCAAAATATTAAACAACAGTCTGAGCTATGGAGTGTGCAAGTGCTATTGGGGGATAAAGTACAGTATCTGGACTGATTGATATTGATTCTAGGTTTGATCACAAGGAAAGAAAATACATCACTTTTGATTGGACCCACCACAGTGATAAATGCTACACTAGTCTCTCCTTCCTTCCTTCCTTCCTTCCTTCCTTCCTTCCTTCCTTCCTTCCTTCCTTCCTTCCTTCCTTCCTTCCTTCCTTCCTTCCTTCCTTCCTTCCTTCCTTCCTTCCTTCCTTCCTTCCTTCCTTCCTTCCTTCCTTCCTTCCTTCCTTCCTTCCGTGTGTGTTTATATGTTTATAATGGAGAGATGGAGGAATTATGTTGTGCCTTCAACTGTCCATAATGCATTCCATCTTGGGGTTGATGAAAGAGAAGCCTGCAAAGACAGCCTGGTCCATAGAGTCAATCAGGTTCTTGTCTGTGTGGGACAGGCGGGGCTTCTCACGCAGGAACTCCCGGTCAAAGTTGCTGCAGTCATTCGGGGCTTTCTGTGCTTGGCAGAGAAGGGATGTCAGTTCAACAAGTTACCAATAGAAACATTCACACCACAACTCCAAATAAGTAATTCATATGGTGTAAACAAATCAAATCAGTGTGTGAGTTTCACTATCCACATCATAATTCAGAGAACCAGATCTTACCACTTTAGGTTTGAAGGGGGGTTCCACCTCTCTCTTCTCCAGGGCAGGCCAATTGAGGGTCTTGAAGAAGGAGTGTCCATGGATGTTCCCCACCACCCCTAGTCTGTGACTGGGGTCTCGTTCAAACAGCTGGGGATCGAGCACAGAGACGCACAAGAGCTTAGGAACAGGCATCCCATCTGAGATGTAAGGTGTGTGTGTGTGCAGAGCATGAGCTTGTGAGTGTGTAAATGGGAGGGGTCGAGAGGGATATGCTGTAATAGCAAGGTAAAATGGGTGTGGAAACATTGCTTGCATATGTAAGGAAAAATAACATTTTATTCACGGCCAACGTTGTGACATTCTGATGCCTGTCTTTCTCTGTATGTCTGGGTGTGACTATGGGTGAATGTCTGTGTGTGCATGGTTAGTGTTGATGAAAGTCAGGGGAGATTGCAAGACTGATTACAATGTTTACTAGTGGACCCCCATCTGCCATCCACTGTCACAGACATACAACATTGTGAAAAGGAGGTCAGTGTGTAAATGTATGTGAGAGAAGAGGATGAGCAGCAGCCGCACCTTCTCCAGCAGGTCCTTGGCCTCCTTGGTGATCCAGCCAGGGTAGTGAGGCACGTCCATCCTGATGGACTCAAACAGCTCTTCCTCGTCATCACCCTGGAACGGCGACTGGCCAATCAGCATCTCATACACCAGCACCCCAAACGACCACCAGTCCACGGAGAAGGTGTACTTCTGTCCCAGCAGGATCTGAGGATGGACGGGCAGACAGACAGAGAGACCCATGGACTATGTAAAGAGTAATCTACAGTTAGGATCAAAACATAGGCTAACAAATACAGGACAGAGAGTAAATTACTTTACAAACAGAATCCTACAAAACCCTATCCCGCATAGACGTAGACAGTCACACACACCTCTGGTGCGATGTAGTCCGGCGTCCCACAGAAAGTGGTGGCCCGATTCGCTCCAAACATGTTCTCCTTGCACATTCCAAAGTCAGCAATCTTAATGTGGCCGTCCCTGTCCAGCATCACATTGTCCAGCTTCAGGTCCCTGTAGCAGGGAAGGGGAGGGCAGGGGGGAGAGGGGTTAAATCAGCTCCCTAATTAAAGGGAATTAAGTCCAACTATTAAGCACTAATACAGGGGTGAATCATGTGCACGACCAGATCAGGCCATTGCAGTTCATGGATCTCACCTGTAAATAATTCCTTTGGAATGGAGAAACTGCAGTCCAATTACGATCTCTGCTGAGTAGAACCTGGGGGAGAAGAGTGGTAGAGTCCAAATTACTTCTGTGTGTATCATCATTATGAAAGACCTACAGTCTGCCCTTAACCTGCTATGAAACCCTCTTGGATGAGTTTTAAAGTAACATAACTACTTAGTGGCTGGTGGATGGTGAGATAGAGCCTACATATCACTGTAGTCTGTCACTCACGTGGCTCTGTAGAGGTCAAAGCGACCCTTATCCTGTATGTGGAACATCAGGTCTCCTCCATTCAGGTACTCCATCACGAAAAACAGGTGTTCCTGCGAAAACACACACATGCACATTATCCTATCATTTAAGCTACTGTCGGAAGTTTACATACACCTTAGCCAAATACATTTAAACTCAGTTCTTCACAATTCCTGACATTTAATCCTAGTAAAAATGCCCTGTCTTAGGTCAGTTAGGAACACCACTTTATTTTAAGAATGTGAAATGTCAGAATAATATTAGAGAGAATGATTTATTTCAGCTTTTATTTATTTCATCACATTCCCAGTGGGTCAGAGGATTACATACACTCAATTCGTATTTGGTAGCATTGCCTTTAAATTGTTTAACTTGGGTCAAACATTTCGGGTGCCTTCCACAAGCTTCCCACAATAAGTTGGGTGAATTTTGGCCCATTCCTCCTGACAGAGCTGGTGTAACTGAGTCATTTTTGTAGGCCTCCTTGCTCGTACACGCTTTTTCAGTTCTGTCCACACATTTTCAATAGGATTGCGTTCAGGGCTTTGTGATGGCCACTCCAATACCTTGACTTTGTTGTCCTTAAGCCATTTTGCCACAACTTTGGAAGTATGCTTGGGGTCATTGTCCATTTGGAAGACCCATTTGCGACCAAGCTTTAACTTCCTGATTGATGTCTTGAGATGTTGTTTCAATATATCCACATAATTCACCCCCACAGCATGATTCTGCCACCCCCGTGCTTCACGGTTGGGATGGTGTTCTTCGGCTTGCAAGCAACCCCCTTTTTTCTCCAAACATAACGATGGTCATTATGGCCGAACAGTTCTATTTTTGTTTCATCAGACCAGGGACATTTCTCCAAAAAGTACGATCTTTGTCCCCATGTGCAGTTGCAAACCGTAGTCTGGCTTTTTTATGGCGGTTTTGGAGCAGTGGCTTCTTCCTTGCTGAGCGGCCTTTCAGGTTATGTTGATATAGGACTCGTTTTATTGTGGATATAGGTACCTTTGTACCCGTTTCCTCCAGCATCTTCACAAGGTCCTTTGCTGTTGTTCTGGGATTGATTTACACTTCTCGCACCAAAGTACGTTAATCTTGAGGAGACAGAACGCATCGCCTTTCTGAACGGTATGACAGCTGCGTGGTTCCATGGTGTTTATACTTGCGTACTATTGTTTGTACAGATGAACGTGGTACCTTCAGGCGTTTGGAAATTGCTCCCAAGGATGAACCAGACTTGTGGAGGTCTACAATGTTTTTTCTGAGGGCTTGGCTGATTTCTTTTGATTTCCCCATGATGTCAAGCAAAGAGGCACTGAGTTTGAAGGTAGGCCTTGAAATCCATCACAGGTACACCTCCAATTGATTCAAATGATGTCAATTAGCCTATCAGAAGCTTCTAAAGGCATGACATCATTTTCTGGAATTTTCCAAGCTGTTTAAAGGCACAGTCAACTTAGTGTATGTAAACTTCTGAACCACTGAAATTGTGATACAGTGAATTATAAGTGAAATAATATGTCTATAAACAATTGTTGGAAAAAATACTTGTGTCATGCACAAAGTAGATGTCCTAACTGACTTGCCAAAACTATAGTTTGTTAACAAGAAATTTGTGGAGTGGTTGAAAAACAAGTTGTAATGGCTCCAACCTAAGTGTATGTAAACTTCTGACTTCAACTGTAAGTATAGTGACACAAATCAGTCTGAGGGAAAATTGTTCTCATAATGAAAGATAAAGGGGTCTCACCCTAGTCTGGAAGGTGGAGTAAAGGTGTGTGAGGAAGGGGTTGTCCCAGGCCAGGGCCAGGACTCTCTTCTCCACCAAGGTACACTCTACATCATCATCCATCAGAACCACATCTTTCTTCAGGGCCTTCACAGCAAAGTATTCCCCTCGCCCCTTCAGCTCAGCCAGCAGGACCTGGAGCGCCAGACAGGAGAGGTGATACTGTTAGGCCGCATACTCCCACAGAGAGAAAACACATGTTGAACAACTAACTACTATAGCAGGCCACTGGGTTGCTATTGCTACTCCGACAATAGATAATAACATACTAACTAAACCACTAAAGTAGGTTAGTTTGCAGCAGTTGAAGAGTGCCTTGGAACCTTTTGGACAAAGCAGTATTAGCATGTGACACTTGTGTGAAGGCCATTTAGTGTGTGTGCATGTGTGTCAGTGGTGTGACGGGAAATGTACCAGAGTGGTTGGACTGGGGCCTACATTACCTTGCCAAAGCTGCCCTTGCCCAGCACCTTGTGGAACACAAAGTTGTCGATGGTGAGGTGGATCTTGGGAGCGATGCTGGTGGGGGCAGGGACCTTACCACCTTCCCACAGGTTCTCATTGGCTTCTTTTGAACACACACACAAAGAGAGGGGCATAATGTCAATAGATGCATTCACACATGTAAAAACACAACAACAAAAAAGATGGATAACAAAAAACAAAAAGTGTGGTTTACTTAAGCAATAAGGCCTGAGGGGGTGTTGTATATGGCCAATATACCTCGGCTAAGGGCTGTTCTGGATACAGCCCTTAGCCGTGGTATATTGGCCATATATCACAAACCCCTGAGGAGCCTTATTACTATTATAAACTTGTTACCAACATAATTAAAGCAGTAAAAATAAATGTTTGGTCATTTCCTGGAATAAGGTCTGATATACCACAGTTTTCAGCCAATCAGCATTCAAGGCTAGAACCACCCAGTTTATAATGCAGAATAATGTGCTCTCAGCTGCAACAGTGACAGCTACTCACCACTAGGGTCCACTCCTGGGCTTTTGTTGAAGTCCTGGTAGATTCCAGTGTCTGTTGACTTGGAGTTGTTGGATTCAGACCTACTTATGGATTTCTGAGAGGGTAAAAATGCCATTACAATAGGTTTATGAATGTGCATTAATGATTCTAGAAAATACATTAATATGTGTGAATGTGGGTATGACCAAGTGCATGTCCCTGCCTTTCACACCTGGCTAACTTGGTTGAGGGCCTCAGACAGAAGTTTCTGGTTGATTCCACAGAGATTGCCCACTTTCTTCTGACACTTGTGATGGATGTTCATGGAACAATCTGACAGGAGAAAGGGGAGAAGCATAAGACACTGGTTGTGAGAAGATAGAGAGGGAAAGAGGCGGCAGGTAGCTTAGTGGTTAAGAGCGTTGTGCCAGTAACCGAAAGGTCGCTGGTTCTAATCCCCGAGCCGACTAGGTGAAAAATCTGTCGATGTGCCCTTGAGCAAGGCACTTAACCCTAATTGCTCATGTAAGTCGCTCTGGATAAGATGACTAAAATTTTAATGAAAGAGTCACTCTGCTAAATGACTAAAATGTAAATGTAAATGAAAGAGATAGAGGGCCAGAGCTAACAGATTGGTTCTATTGAAGATAAATGGAAAGAGACAGAGGGAGAGGGAATGAGTGAGAGGGGGCCTCACACCTACCTTCACACTTGATGCCCTGCTTGACCATTCCCCACAGCATACTGCCACAGTGGTCACAGAAGGTGGGGCTCATGTAGTTGTGGCTCTTGAAGCGATGCGGCATGTCAATCTTAAAGCGCTCCTTCTGGAACTGTGGACACAGAGCTCCCGTCATCAAAGAGCCAGTCCATAGTACCCATGGGCACTGCCCAAAGACCTGGGTGTCTGTGGGGCCTCATGGCTGTTCTGAAGCTCCTCATGGTGCCCCAAAGGGAGAAGGGACAGGGGGCACACACCTACACCTTTAACTGGTGGACTGACTCCACCCTCACAGCACTGACTCCACCCTCACAGCACTGACTGGCCTACAATTCCACCTACACCCCCAGGGGAGCTCCCATACAGGCTGCAGACAGGGGACAGATTCACCTCTGACCACTAACCACTGAAGAGAAGGCCTCTCTATCCTAACTGCCTCAGGTGATGAAGAGCTGATCCTACTGCTGCAGAGACTATCAGCCTTACTATCTCCCTGGCTGTATACTTCATAAGCAACACTGCAACACTAGTTAAAAGTGCTCCACTACTGGTAATAACAGTCTTATGCTGAATCCACTGGCACTATACTGGCTACTTTGGTCCTGTGATAGCTAAATTACAACTGGAATGGAGCACCACTGTTCAGTTTTAAACACAAGCCTATTGATTTGCCTGGTCTCTGATAGCTGTTGACCTCCCTGAATGTGTCTCATCTTGCCCTTTGAGGGATGCAGATAAACGTGACAGTTCCCTCACAGCTGCATGACCGCGATGCAATCAGAGAAAATGACGTGGAAAAATTACGATTTAAGTAAACATATTGATCAAGGGAATTGCTCCATAGAAAACTGATCTTCAAACACCCACTACTATTTGCAATATATTAGGATAGGTGGTCATAACGCTTACCATAGTGTCTCTACTGTTGGCTGCTGTTCCGGTGCATCTCCCAATGATTTTGTCGATGCATTTCTTGTGGATAGCCGCATTGCATTCTGAGACAGAGATAAAGCCACATTAGGGCAAGCTCATAGTTAAGACATTCACTTATTGATATGAGAAATTTGTATATTTTTGGGAGTGTATGATTGCACAGTGAACGCTTAGGATGCTTCACTCCAAGCTACAAAACAATGTCCATATAGTGGAAAAATCTAAACAGCAAGAGGTCAGAGACACTCACGTCGGCACTTGTAGCCTTGCTTGTTGAGTCCCCTGTTTGAAAAGAAACCAGGGTTTAAGAGTCATACAATACATTGCTAATCTTTGTGGACTTTTCCCAATCTTTGTTGCCATTTTCCCAGTTGATGAGAAAATCTCATGAAAAGTATTGACAGTGACAATAAACAATGGTAGCTTAACAGTATGAAAGAGAGGAGAGACATTCATTCATATTTTGCACAAACACCATCCACACACACTTATAAGGCTAAAAGGGACATTCCTCAACCTGTCGCCATTGGTAACCAATAACAGTTTTCTTCTCTGGCAGGAAGGGGACAGCCCTGCCCTGGGGATTGTACTGAGCAGCTGACGTTGGTGAAACATTGCAGGAACACCCTGTGGGTTTTCCCAAGAAAGTGACTTACACAGCTCCCATTACAGGTCATGCCAGCCAGTCTTATTGTTATTATTGGCCTGACTACTCCAGTGAGGGAACAATTAGGGCTGCTAATGGGTCTACTTAGAGACCCCATGGGGGGCTGGTTTTGGGGTAATCAGTCAACTCTCTCTGTACTCTGGTTTACTGCTAGGCCAAGGCATAATACTGTTTGTGTGTAAAACAAACATACAACTACACAAGTAAACCAGGTTGAAAGCCCACTGTTTGATGCAGTAATGACGTGTGAGAAAGTAATGGTCTTTTTTCATGGTCATGGTCAGTGTTAGGATAGGTGGTCTCCATCTCTCACCAGACAAACTCCCTGCAGACAGAGCAGAAGGTGGGCTGTCCAAAGAAGGTGGCAGTGAATTCATGGTTCTTGATGTAGTGGACCTTGGCCTGTTTAATGGCTTTCCTTCGGTACAGTGTTCTCGCCCCGTCCTCCTCTTCACGCCCCTTCACTGTCGATTTAAACGCTGCTGGGGACACATGACAATTTTAAAGTTAATTATTCTATGTACTCAATCATTCTGCTGTGTAGCAAATGTGCCCACTCTGGTCTTGGCACATGCACTTTAACCAACAGATCGCATTGGGTAGGCTACCTACATTATGAGATTATTATGGTTAACAGTGATATTATTTGTATTTGTCAAACGGCAGCCAAGATCATCATGTCACCAGAATAAGACCCTCGATACTTATTGGAAAGGAGCATCAAGCTCATCACCTTGCACATTCATCACCCTGTGAAGTTCATCATCATTTATTTAATCTGTAGCTTAATAAACGGCATGCTTTCCCGAGTCGTAGTGGGAGGACCACACAACATATCATCGCTTGACTCCAAGTTTACTTCGATATGATGGTTATTATTTCAATATTCGCGCATTAAGGCGTTTCCATCGCCATTTCTCGCTTAATACATTTTACAGACACAAAAAGATCCCACCATGTCGAAGAACAAATTGTCTGTTGGCATTTATAAAACTGTGCCGGCATTTCATGCTTCCATCAGCCTGGTCATGACTTTTTTCATGTGTCAGGTAAGTAATCCACATGAAACAGTTGGATGGAAACGTAAAAATGGCACCTTGGTAAAAAAAAAATGGAATTCATGAACCTTGTACCTACATTGTTATATTCTAAACCTGCATAAATTGAGTCTACACAGTCTCAGAGTTAGAGATGATCTATTTGCTATAGAAATAGAGTTTATTAAACATGAATCATCAAAATGGGATTGATTAAGGAAAAGAGATCTAAAGACTGAGGTCAGGTCCCACATGTTTGACTTCCAGAGTAAACAGTGAGAACAACCTTCTGGGAAATGTAGCTGCAGCTGACGGAAGCCAAGGGGACTGGGTCAAAGGTCATGGAAAGAAAATGAGAGAGGCGTGAGAGAGGTAAACAAAGAAAATACAACTGATATGAGGACTGTGAGAAGACACAAAAGAGAGTGAGGGAAGAGGACACAGACAGACGGGAAGCTGAATAGATAGAGAGAGAAAAAAAATACACACATTTCCTCTGTGCCATCTCATTCCATTGACTGGTGTATGTTTAGAGAGGAGTTGCTCCTGCCTGCCAACTCTGGATACAGGCTGGTGACAGAGTCAGGCAGAGAGGGCTACTCAGACACACAGGCCTAAACATACCACAGTCTGGGCTGCATTTCAAGAAACCTGCAGAGAGAAAGGGGTATGATGGATGCTGCTCCAGCCTACCCAGAGCAGGTTCAGCCTGACTGGGACACTCCCACATACAGCCTCCCCCTAGGCCTGGGTCATATGCCAGTTGTAGATACACACACTCCCCCTTCCAGGGCCTGCATGGCTTCTGGGCTAGGCTGAGCTCCATGTGACGAGCTGGCCTGGCAGCCTTGTACAGTAGCATATTTCTCTAAATCAAATAAAATGTATTTGTCACATGCAGACTTTAACGTGAAATACTTACTTACGAGCCCTTTCCCAATAATGCAGTTTCAATGTAAGAAAATTAACAAATAGATAAAAATAAAATAGTATCATAATAAAATAACAACAACGAGGCTATATACAGGCTATATACAAGGAGTACCGATAGAGTCAGTGTACTGGGGTATGAGGTAGTTGGGTGATTGATTGAGATAATATGTACATGTAGGTAGGGGATGAAAAGCCAAAAATCTGGGTAGTCCGTTTAATTAACTGTTCAGCAGTCTTATAACTTTGGGGTAGAAGCTGTTCAGGAGCCTTTTGGTCCCAGACTTAGCGCCTCGGTACCACCTGCCGTGCGGAAACAGAGAGAACAGACTGAGTAGGGTGGCTGGAGTCTTTGACAATTTGTAGGGCCTTCCTCTGACACCACCTGGTATAGAGGTCCTGGATGGCAGGGAGCTCAGCCCCAGTGATGTACTGGGCCGTACGCACTACACTCTTGTAGAGCCCTGCGGTCGGATGCATACCAAGCGGTGATGCAGCCAGTCAAGCCTACCCCTGTTGCCTAGCCTCACCACCTGGGGGTGTCCCGTCATAAAGTCGAATATCCAATTGCAGAGGGAGGTGTTTAATCCCAGGGTCCTTAGCTTAGTGATGAGCTTGGAGGGAACTATGGTGTTGAACGCAGAGCTGTAGTCAATGAACCGCATTCTCACATAGGTCTTCCTTTTGTCCAGTTGGGAAAGGGCAGTGTGGAGTACAGTAGAGATGGCGTCATCTGTGGATCTGTTGGGGCGGTATGCGAATTGGAGTGGGTCCAGGGTGAGCATTTTCTTGTTTGCTTATGGCCTTATACAGCTCGTTGAGTGCAGTCTAAGTGCCAGCATCGGTTTGTGGTGGTAAATAAAAAATATGGATGCAAACTCTCTTGGTAAATAGTATGGTCTACAGCTTATCATGAGGTATTCTAACTCAGGCGAGCAGAACCTCGAAATGTCCTTAATATTAGAGATTGTGCACCAACAGTTCTTCAGATCACTTTGATAGGATGGTCTCGAACGGAGCTCATCCAGTTTCTTTTCCAATGATTGCATATTCGCCAATAGAACGGAGGGTAATGGCGACTTATCCACTCGCCGTCGCAGTCTCGTTAGAGTTCCGGCACGCCGACCTCTATAGCACCGCCTCCTCCGAGTGACGGGGATTTGGGCCTAGTTTGGGATGAGCATTATGTCCTTTGTCTCCGATTCTTTGAAAAAGGCCTCATCCAAATCGAGGTTATTAATCTCTGTTTGATGTCCAGAAGCTCTTTTCGATCACATGAAACAATGGACGAAACATTATGTAAAAAACTAATTCGGATCAGCGCAAAAGAAAAACACACAAAATAGCACAATTGGTCAGGAGCAGGGGCCTTCCGAGTGGGGCAGCGGTCTAAGGCACAGCATCCCCTCCAGTGCCATTATCCATATACCACTACCACTAGAGCCCACTGTTTACTGTCTAACCAGTGTGTATGAGTGCGAGAGAAACAGAGAGATATACAGTAAATGCTAGATTGAGAGCATGTATGTTTCGCCTACTACCTGCTGTGTCTGTGTCCTCCACAAAGAACTGGACGGCCATTTGAACCTTCCCAGAAGGCTGCAGGTCTACCCAGAATTCAGCACAGCCGTTGCCCTTCTTACAGCGCTCGGCCAGCACGGACATGCCCACCATGGCCTCGGCCAATGGCTCCTCTGTGGTCTTCATCAGAACCACCTGCAGGACACGGCCCTCTAAGATGTGGGCGTCAAAACTGGACTTCCAGGCTGGGTACATAGTGGGTTTCCTCTGGACCAGGGTCTTCCCCCGCTCTTGAGAGCGAGAGGAGAGAGGAGGGAGATGGGTTACACTACTACATACAGATTACACATGTGCATGTCATAAAGTGTGGTTGTGTACATGTGAAAGGGAGGGAGAGAGAGAAAAGAGGGGGAGTGGTATGTGTGTGTGTGTGTGTGTGTATACAGTTTGGTAGTACCCCATGGGTAGTGCTACTGACCAGTTATGAAGGACTCCTTCATCTTAATGGCACAGAAGGGAGTGTTAGTCAGGGGGGGCAGGACCCCCACATCAAATGCATTAAAGGCTATGCGCAGGAAGGGCTCCATGGTGACCACTCAGCCAGCAGCCTCCTGTAAAACAGACACAGTCAGGGTTACGATTATGAAATAGACATAAGGTCGCACACTCTTACTCAACACATATCCTAAAAACAAGAAGTAGTCTAGCTGTAGACACAGCTGTTGGCCACCAAAGAGACTGGAAATACAGAGGAAGTGGAAGCTACCAACTGTCATGTACCATGCTAATGCTGAAATAAACCCCACCATTACGACATCACAGAAAGGGAAAGAGACCGTTGTGAAAGACTCATAAGAACAAGAAATCCCTCTCCTGACACAAGCCTACCAGACGAGCTAAACCACTTCTATGCTCGCTTCGAGGCAAGCAACACTGAAGCATGCATGAGAGCACCAGCTGTTCCGGATGACTATGTGATCACGCTCTCCGTAGCCGATGTGAGTAAGACTTTTAAGCAGGTCAACATTCACAAGGCCGCAGGGCCAGACGGATTACCAGGACGTGTTCTCCGAGCATGTGCTGACCAACTGGCAAGTGTCTTCACTGACATTTTCAACATGTCCCTGACTGAGTCTGTAATACCAACATGTTTCAAGCAGACCACCATAGTCCCCGTGCCCAAGAACTCTAAGATAACCTGCCTAAATGACTACCGACCCGTAGCACTGACGTCTGTAGCCATGAAGTGCTTTGAAAGACTGGTCATGGCTCACATCAACAGCATAATCCCAGAAACCCTAGACCCACTCCAATTTGCATACCGCCCCAAGAGATGATGCAATCTCTATCGCACTCCACACTGCCCTTTCCCACCTGGACAAGAGGAACACCTACGTGAGAATGCTATTCATTGACTACAGCTCAGCATTCAACACCATAGTGCCCTCTAAGCTCATCACTAAGCTAAGGATCCTGGGACTAAACACCTCCCTCTGCAACTGGATCCTGGACTTCCTGACGGGCCGCCCCCAGGTGGTAAGGGTAGGTAACAACACATCTGCCACACTGATCCTCAACACGGGGGCCCCTCAGGGGTGCGTGCTCAGTCCCCTCCTGTACTCTCTGTTCACCCATGACTGCATGGCCAGGCACGACTCCAACACCATCATTAAGTTTGCCGACGACACAACAGTGGTAGGCCTGATCACCGACAACGATGAGACAGCCTATAGGGAGGAGGTCAGAGATCTGGCCGTGTGGTGCCAGGACAACAACCTCTCCCTCAACGTGACCAAGACAAAGGAGATGATTGTGGACTACAGGAAAAAAAAGAGGACTGAGCACGCCCCCATTCTCATCGACGGGGCTGTAGTGGAACAGGTTGAGAGCTTCAAGTTCCTTGGTGTCCACATCACCAACGAACTATCATGGTCCAAACACACCAAGACAGTCGTGAAGAGGCCACGACAAAGCCTATTCCCCCTCAGGAGACTAAAAAGATTTGGCATGGGTCCTCAGATCCTCAAAAAATTCTACAGCTGCACCATCGAGAGCATCCTGACTGGTTGCATCACCGCCTGTATGGCAACTGCTTGGCCTCTGACCGCAAGGCACTACAGAGGAACTCTACTTCTCAACAGCTTCTACCCCAAGCCATAAGACTCCTGAACAGCTAATCATGGCTAACCCGGACTATTTGCACTGCCCCCCACCCCATCCTGTTTTACGCTGCTGCTAACTTCTGTTAAGTATTTATAGCATAGTACACCCTTGTAACTCTACCCCACATGTACTACTCTACACTTCTACCTAACCCTCAACTAGCCGGTGCCCCCGCACATTGACTCTGCAACGGTACCCCCCTGTATATATAGCCTCCCTACTGTCACTTTATTTTACTTCTGCTCTTTTTTTCTCAACACTTTTTTTGTTGTTGTTTTATTCTTACTTTTTTTGTTTAAAATAAATGCACTGTTGGTTAAGGGCTGTAAGTAAGCATTTCACTGTAATGTCTGCACCTGTTGTATTCGGCGCATGTGACCAATAAAATTTGATTTGATTTGATTTGATTTGTCCCCGGGACTGTGTGAGAGAGTGAGAGAGCGCAATACAAGACAGCGGGAGAAAAAGAGAGAATCAGACAGAAAATCAATGGGATCGATTCACACAGCACATTAAAGTCACAGAGAGGGAGAGTGCTCTAATTCTGGTCCGCTGGCATTGCCTTCCCCTCCGCCAATAGTATTTTTTGGCTGATTTAGACAGGCCATTGAGATGTAGTCCTCTAGGGGTCCTTCCCTGGGTCATGAGGCCAACCATATCCCTGCACCTGCAAAAACCTTCCCTATCTGACCCAGAAAGGATGTCGGTTTTGACGATATAGTGACTAAAACCCCTACCAGAGGGGAGACCAGGAGCATAGAGGAAAGAGGAGACAGTGGTCCTCTGTAGCTCAATTGGTAGAGCATGGCGCTTGTAACGCCAGTGTAGTGGGTTTGATCCCCGGGACCACCCATACATAAAAATGTATGCACACATGACTGTAAGTCGCTTTGGATAAAAGCGTCTGCTAAATGGCATATTATTATTATTATTATTATTATTATTATTATAAGGCAGTCTAGGCTGTGAGACTGCTGATTGGATACACAGCACAGCAACACAGAGGACTGTGGCCAGCATGCTTTTATGGCCTCCACAATCTTACAAACCACAAAAAGCCTGACAATGTTGCCCATACAGCTTCAAAGCTAAACAAACTACATTTTTTAATGACAGGCTGCACACATTGTCAAAGGATCTATGACGTTGGCTGGCTAAACGTGAACTAGTAAGTCCAGTAAGACTGGTAACTCCTCAGCTTACTGCTACCAATAATTTTTAAAGAATGCCATGTAGTTTCCCGGATTATGACACCTTTTGTTCCTCCACATAATTTCCAGGAATCCATGTTTTTCATAATGCAACAGGTCTAATTAGGGCTGGGAATTGCCAGGGACCTTACGATACAATATTATCACGATATTTAGGAGCCGATACAATATGTATTGAGATTCGCCCGATTCTATACTATGATTTTATTGCGATTCGATGTACCAAATATATTGCTCTATTAAAATAAAAAGAGTCGCACACTCTATATACACTACCAGTCAAAAGTTTGGACACACCTACTCATTCAAGGATTTTTCTTTATTTATACTATTTTCTATATTGTAGAATAATAGTGAAGACATCAAAACTATGAAATAACACATATGGAATCATGTAGTAACCCAAAAAAAAAGTGTTAAAACAAACCAAATATATGTTATTCTTCAAATAGCCACCTTTTTCCTTGATAACAACTTTGCACATTCTTGGCATTCTCTCAACGAGCTTCATGAGGTAGTCACCTGGAATGCATTTCAATTAACAGGTGTGCCTTGTTAAAAGTAAATTTGTGGAATTTATATCCTTCTTAATGCGTTTGAGCCAATCAGTTGTGTTGTGACAAGGTAGGGGGGGTATACAAAAGATAGCCCTATTTGGTAAAAGACCAAGTCCATATTATGGCAAGAACAGCTCAAATAAGCAAAGAGAAACAACAGTCCATCATTACTTTAAGACATGAAGGTCAGTCAATTCAGAAAATGTCAAGAACCTTCAACGTTTCTTCAAGTGCAGTCACAAAAACCATCAAGCGGTATGATGAAACTGGCTCTCATGAGGACCGCCACAGGAATGGAAGACCCAGAGTTACCTCTGCTGCAGAGGATAAGTTCAATAGAGTTACCAGCCTCAGAAATTGCAGCCCAAATAAATGCTTTGCAGAGTTCAAGTAACAGATACATCTCAACATGAACTGTTCAGAGGACACTGAATCAGGCCTTCATGGTCGAATTGCTGCAAAGAAACCACTACTAAAGGACACCAATAATAAGAAGAGACCTGCTTGGGCCAAGAAATACGAGCAATGTCCAAATTGGAGATTTTTGGTTCCAACCGCCATGTCTTTGTGAGACGTGGTGTGGGTGAACGGATAATCTCTGCATGTGTATTTCCCACCGTAAAGCATGGAGGAGGTGGTGTTATGGTGTGGGGGTGCTTTGCTGGTGACACTGTCTGTGATTTATTTAGAATTCAAGGCACACTTAACCAGCATGGCTACCACAGCATTCTGCAGCGATACGCCATCCCATCTGGTTTGGGCTTAGTGGGACTATCATTTGTTTTTCAACAGGACAATGACCCAACACACCTCCAGGCTGTGTAAGGGCTATTTTACCAAGAAGGAGAGTGATGCAGTGCTGCATCAGATGACCTGGCCTCCACAATCCCCCGACCTCAACCCAATTGAGATGATTTGGGACGAGTTGGACGGCAGAGTGAAGGAAAAGCAGCCACCAAGTGCTCAGCATATGTGGGAACTCCTTCAAGACTGTTGGAAAAGCATTCCAGGTGAAGCTGGTTGAGAGAATGCCAAGAGCGTGCAAAGCAGTCATCAAGGCAAAGGGTGGCTATTTGAAGAATCTCAAATATAAAATATATTTTGATTTGTTTAACACTTTTTTGGTTACTACATGATTCAATTTTTTCCCCCATCACTAAGGCTAATGGTAAGTGAGTGAGTGGTGAACTACCTTCTTACATCAGAAAGGCTCCTTTAGACCAATAAATTTGAGCAGCGAAGCTACAGTTCGTCACAGAGCTAGCATGCCAAAGAGGGTGTAAGCGTTAGCCTACATCATAATTCCGCAAGCAGCCATGAAATCCTACAGAATTCCTTTGTCACGACTTCCGCCGATGCTGTCCCCCCTCCTGGTTCGGGAAGGCTTTGGCATTCGTCGTCACCGGAGTACTAGTTACTGCCGATCCCATTCTCATCACTCCACTTGTCATGTCTTGTCAATCACACACACCTGGTGCTCATTCCCCTAATTAGTATGTGTATAAGTGTTCCCTCTGTTCCCCTTGTCTTTGTGAGTGATTGTTTGTTGTGAGAGCGTGTAGCTCGGTTGAGCTACTATTCACTGTGTTTATGCCAAGGTGGATGTTTCCCTTGTAATAGTTTCGTTTGACGCTTTGGGCGTTTGATTTATGTAAA